TCCCGGAGGACTGCGACTGCTCCAGCGCGGGGCTGGTGGACACACTGCTGCTGGTGTTGGTGCCCTCGTCTGCTGTCTTCTTGAAGAAGCTGTGCTGCAGAGCGTAGTACGGCTGGATGCGCGTCTTGGGGTCATAGTCTAGCATCCGCAGGATCAGGTCCTTGAACTTCAGGTAGTCTGCGACGGCGTGACCCGACTCTCCGGCTCTGCGCCCGCCGGGGCCGCCTGCCTCCACACCCAGAATACTGTGCAGCTTCCGGGAGCCAGCAGGCTTATACTGCACACACACACACACACACACACACACACACACACACACACACACAGACAGAGAGAGAGAGAGAGAGAGAACACAGCATTAAACACACTGAAACACACACACACACACAGAATCAGCACAGAAGCGCACCCTTTTGCCGTCTTTGGTCTTCTTGGCGCACCACATACTGTCCGGCATCTTCTCAAAGAACTTCCTGGCTTTAGGTGCCTGCTCCAGGATATGACTGGGAGGAACGCCCAACACCTCCACGATCTTATTCATCTGATCAACCTGCAAACAAACAAGCAGTCATCACCAGGAGCCATGAGAAGACCCTCACTGGCTCTAAAGCAAGATATTAGGTTAATCCCAAATCAATACTCATGCAAGATTATATATACACAGTGTAGAGCGCAGGTACTGCCATCAGGCAGGAAATTCAGGACAATCATCAAGAGAATAAGTCTGGGGAAATTCTCCCACATGCCAGTGATTTTGCTGCCCCCCGGTGGTGAAGGCAGTGCAGTAGTTTACTCATGATAGCTGCGGTTTGCTAGTTTGGTGGTTTATTTCACTAATTTGGCAATTAAATGTCCATTAAACGTCACCGGATTTAAAATGTCCTATTGGTAAAGAACATTAGTGGTCTATTTGGGACGACACTACATGGTTGAGTGTTTAAGTATGCCATCTATTGTTTTTGATGTCTTTTATCCATGAAAGATAAAAATAATCCAGGTACAATTAAACCCGAGTGGACAAAGACACAAGACAGAAGATGTCTGTTGTCCAGCGTTATCATGGGAAAGGTGTTCCAGCTGATGTCACATTGAGGCTGATCTACAGAGGCTCTGTGTGAGCTCAGATGCAGAGAGTTGATCAGACTGAATAAACGCTGTGAACGGCTGGAGGACGCAGGGTTTCCAGAACTCACCTCATTAGCGCCGCTGAAGAGCGGTTCTCCGGTGTGCATCTCCACCAGGATGCAGCCTAGAGACCACATGTCGATGGCCAGATCGTACGGCATCCCCAGCAGGACCTCGGGCGAGCGGTAGAAGCGACTCTGGATGTACTGGTATATCTGTGGACACAGTTAAACAGCAGGTAAACACACACATCACACTCAAATTCCTCATCTACAATATTTCCAGATCAATGTAGAGCTCAAACATGTAATCGCCAGCCTTTATGATGATCACTTATGAAAATCATTAGTCAGCATGGGCATCAGAACAGCAGAGAGAGAAGAGGAACAGCGGGTGTAAAGTGTGTGACAAGTCCTTTAAAGCTCAGGACGCACCGAACCAACTTCAAAGATCTAGCAGCTATGAAAACAGACTGTGATGTCGTCTTATGACGGCTGCGTCTAGACCAAAAGTCCTCGCATGAACACAGACAACAGAGCGGACTGAAGCGCATGTTCTGCTCCTGCATGAGAGGGTGTTCCTCAACACATCTGCATCACTAACCAGAACTAGTGCTGTACACACAAACAGTAAACAAAGGACCGTTCACACATCGTTTACTCAGTACTTCTTGCTCACAACTGGAGGATTTGCTCTTAACTTGTATCATTTGAAAATATTTGTAAAGATATGACCATAGATAGATTAGTTATGTCATACAGGCTCTGAGCATGCGTCAATACCGCCGCCATATTGGTCAGGGCTCACAGGACAACAGTCAGTCAGCCTCACCAGTCAAGCCTAAAGCCAATGTGAAGATGCTGGACTTCAGCACTGTGCCAAAGCACGCCTCCCACCAGGGCTGATATACAGCCATATCGCTCTGCTACGAGCTTGATGTTGCTCATATGTATGTATTTTTCCATCAGCTCGATGGCCTGAATGAATGCGTGTGATGAATGGGTTAGTGTGAGTGTGTTCAGCTGATGTGCCGTCTCACCCGCTGGCCCAGCTGGCAGGAGCTCCCGAAGTCCACGATCTTGATGGCGGACCTCTTGGGGTTGCAGAGCAGGATGTTTTCAGGCTTGAGGTCACAGTGGATGATGCTGAGCTCCGGCGTGGCCAGGAACAGCAGCGCGGTGCACAGCTGCTGGGCGAACTTACGCGTCAGGTTCAGGGACACGCCGCGGAAGTTGGTGTTCCTCAGCAGATCGTACAGGTTATAGGACAGCATCTCGAACACCAGACACAGGTGGTTTCGGAACATGAAGTGGCGTTTCAGGTGAACTACAGGACGAAACACAGCGGCACAATGTTAAGAACACTTCACTTGGATTTCCATTACAGAACAAATGTTGGATTTATTTTTCATCTGATGATTGATTTCTCGCTCTCGTAGTTCAGCGTGTGATCATTTACACTGGCAGTATACTGAACTGAATGTGGACTACTGAAGGTCTTTTATAATGAAAGAGCACGGTTCAGTTCTTCATGATATTAACATAATTGAAGGAAACTGAAGATTTCATCAAATTACCATAAATAGCTCAACAAATCAAAGCACAGACGGCTTAATATTGAAGTCACCTTGTGAAAAAGAACCTCTACAAAAAAAAACTACAACAATATTTTATTGTCAAAAGTGGGAAATAATCAGCATTTCCTACAAGCAAAACTAAATATTTCACAAGACAAAATTAAATGAATATTTCCTATTATATAGAAATCATGATACAAGTTATTCAAAACCCAAACACTGTTTCTGTTCACTTAGATAAACGGCCGCCAGCCGGCATCAGGCGGACACAGTGGTGGTCTCACAGCAAGAAGGTCTTCGGTTTTGGCCTCGGCTGGGTCAGTGTGCGTTTCTGCTGGCAGGTGACTCCGCTGTGGCGAGCCCTCGGTCCAATGATGCTGGACATGTTAGAGCCGAGTATAAACATCAAATAACTATGGCTTCCAATAATCTGTCAGGCTTCTGAATATGAATTAGATTGTCTGTTTGCTTGATCTGATTGGCTGAAGGGAAAAGGCAGCTTATACATAAGGGCGGGGCTTTGAAATGTTGCTTTTCCCGCCAAATCCCAAATGATCCAGCAACAGGCTGTGGTTAACCTGATGTAGGAGACACTCGCGCTCTCTTATTTCTCAAAGCACTCAGTTTGTCCACACGCTGTATATTTTAACAGGATTTAGAATAAATAATCAAGGGTTTATCTCTAGGCTGTGTGTTTAATAATCGTCTGCACAATGTATGGGTTCAGCAGATCTCACAGTGTGTGAATCCGCAACAGCACAAGACCTGCAGTCACTTCAGTTTCAGTGTAATGACGCGAGCGTCGTGTGTGTGTGCGCATTTGAGACCCGTGTAAAGATTTTAGGCGAGTTGAAAGGATTTGGGCACGAGGATATATCCCGATTGTAGCTTTAACAAAGATGAACTGAATCGTTTATAAAATGAAGCCTACACAGCTTCACTGTACATCTGATTATCTCTGATTCTGAACACTGCTAGACTCTTCGTCTGCAGATTTGCTCTGCTGTATTCATGTTTCTTATATTTTATGCACAATGAACCATAAAAAACCATCCTGATCAATCTATATATATATCTGCAAATAGAGCTACTTCACTAGTAAACGGCGCAATATAATACACAGAAAATCTAAATATTGCACAGCAGGTTTTTCCAACATCGCACAGCCCTGAGCTCTAGCACATCTTAACAGCATCAAGAATAACACGCGACTAGCCAAAGCATGATCAATAATCTAGAAAATCCAAAAAACACTGTCGGGATCCACTATAGCTGGTCCCAGGCGCTCTGCGTGACCCTTCTTAAACTAGTTCCCAGATCCACCTGTCCTGCAGACACCATCAAAACACACAGTGACGAGTCCAGACAGCGGATCTTCAGCGGCCTGTACCATCAACCTGGATTCGCATGCTAGCTGACTCAGTTTCAGTTTAGTTTGCACCAATCCTGGGTTTAGGGCGTCATGAAGACAGCTCAGCTTTAAAGGATAACCTGCACTGAGGTTCAGCTTTATAAATCACACAGATTCCACCAATCAGCTGACAGCACACATGACTCAAAGACACGCCCCCTTTCAGAGACTACATCATCTGGTTCTAACAGTCTAATTATTGTAGATGACTTGCATAAGTACTACATCAGAAGATAAAGCTTTAATACACTGATCATAAAATAAATAATAATAATGACTCGCATGCTATATATGATGATATAAAGACACTCCTCCAGCTTCCCCTGCGACAAATCACAGCCACTATACAGTAAAACACTTAATAAAGATCAAATGGTATTATTTTATTGAAGATTATTATTCTAATACTGTTAGATTTAGTTTTTATCATTATATCTGTAATCAGCCAGACATCTTGTTTTTGAGTTGTGTATCTAATCTGTGGATTTATGCTGAATGATTTCGAGAGTATCTAAAACCTGAACACATGAAATAAAAGAAGACTGTTAACTTTTAATGTGTACCATACAAACCCCATCAGATCCACTTGTTTGATCCAGTAAATCTCCTAATATCTCTAGTAAAAGACAGAAAACACTAGTACAAACTGTCCTGTACATAAATACAACAAACACAACTGTCCTGTACATAAATACAACAAACACTGGCATATTATTGCAGAAATGAATATAAGCGCTGAATAAATAAACACATCTGCATGAGTAAATGAACAGAGTGAACGATGAGCTCGAGATCTGCAGATTCAGCGTGTTTGGACTCTGTGTGTTTACTTCATTAACTCATCTGTTTAATTCTATACGCATTTACAGTCATACAGCTGCAACTTCCAGCTTTATTAGGCAAATCAAGAGTTCATTCATCAGTTCCTTTGTCCCCGGTTTATTTTGGGTCGCCACAGCGGAATAATTCATTCATTCATTTTCTTTTTGCCTTAATCAATTTATTCATCAGGGGTCACCACAGCAGAATGAACCACCAACTATTCCAGCATATGTTTTACACAGCGGATGCTCTTCGTGCCACAACCCAGTACTGGGAAACACCCATACACACTCATACACACACACTCATACACTACGGCCAGTGTAGTTGATCCGTTCCCCTATAGCGCATGTGTTTGGACTGTGGGGGAAACCGGAGCACCCGGAGGAAACCCACGCCAACACGGGGAGAACATGCAAACTCCACACAGAAACACCAACTGACCCAGCCGAGACTCGAACCAGCAACCATCTTGCTGTGGGGCCACAGTGCTACCACTGCGCCACCCTGGGAACAAATCAAGAGTTTTAAAAATACAGTCATATCCGAGTAGAGTTGTGTGTGTGTGTGTGTGTGTGTGTGTGTGTGTGTGTCGACTGTACACATATAAACTACACATTAACTTCACAACTTGACCAGATTAAACACTATTGGCACAGCTCATTTCATCTGGGTGTATAATGCTTTTAAATTCTCCATATTTTCTTGAAGGACGTCAAAAACAGTATCCTTATGTTACGAGGCCTGTGATTGGCTGTTGCTGATGATGCCCCGCCTTCATTTGAACTCCGAATCAAAGCCAGAGTGAACCGAGAGCTGATGATCGCAGTCATGGAACCAACACATCCTGTCCTGGCCGCACCACACTGGCTTTGTCAACTCTAATCTAATCCTGTAATGCTGAGTTTGTTCAGCCAGCTTCATGGAACAGGCCCCAGATCAGCACACAGCAGCTCATCTCAGCCAATGCTGTATCTCCTCATGCATGTTCAGATTGTTCCCTTCAGAACTGTATGTCCGTGTGATGGAGAAACCACTCAAAGCCTGACGAGCTCCCGCAGACAGACAGAAGTCAGTGCGTCCTGCGCCGGTGACCCTGGCCTATATTTTTAAACATTTATAGTTGACCAGCAGCACGCCGTCTGCCCTAAATAGAGCCCTGGGTTCCTCTGAACACTGCAACACAAGCGACAGCAGCAGACAACACAACAGAGAGCGAGGACACGAACAACACTGACAGCTGAAGAAACACAGGTCAGCCTGCTGTACGCTGGCGGAGGAATACGAGAACACGAGTTTAGGGCACAAATCATATCATTACCTGCCTATTATCAAGACAATACCTGTTCATTAGTCATAATAGAGCAGGACTTATTCTGCATCTCACAACCCAGCCCTGCTGACTACTGATAAACACTAATGAGTAGTTTATTGAGCTGGTGGTGTTAGTTAATGGGTTGTTAATATTGTGAGTTGTGACCTAAACTATAGTGTTACTGCAAATCAGATCACTGACCTGCATCAGTACAGACATCACACACCGCCTCTCCGGCTTATTCAGATCAACGTAGGATAAGATTGCAGTACTTCACTGAACAGCAGTTTTTACTTGATAAACACACACACACACACACACACACACACACACACACACATTGCAGTTGCATAATAATGAACCCATGCTGTCATCAGACATGATAAATGCTCATAATGTGAGCAGCACAGCCATTCAGAAGCTGAGGGTCTACAGCCCATGCACACTCAACAACAGAACTAAAATACCCATAATGCACCACTAGAGTTGAGCAAGCGAGTGAATTTCCACATCTGTCCAGTGAATAAAGCAGTCGTACCGGTGTATAATTTACAATAAAGTATTACTGACGATAACGCTCACGTGTACATGACAGAAATCAATAGTCTGATTACCAACAGAGCGAGTGTTCAACAACTACACCAGGGTCTGACAGAGAACATGAAGACACAACCCATCTGAGGGACTCAGCAATTAATGTGTTTGAACTGTGGGGGAAACCCAGAGGAAACCCACGCCAACACGGGGAGAACATGCAAACTCCACACAGAAACACCAACTGACTCGAACCAGTGACCTTCTTGCTGTGAGGCGATCATGCTACCTACTGCACCACTGTGCTGCCCCTGATTCAGCAAACAGCAAAACACAAACCAAACACATCGCCCTAGTGCACTTAGTAGTGCTCCAGTTACAGTGAAAGAGAGTATAGAGGTGATGTTGGATACAGCATACGGCTCTCCTGGAAATGCCCTGGGCTGTTTCCCAAAGGCATGGTCAACAGTAGATGTCAGTGGAGCCGCCGTCACTATGATGAAGCCATGATGCTTTAGTGAAACGCAGCCCTGATCTTTCCAGGTTTGGGATGAGCACAGAAATGAAGACACACACACACACACACACACACACACACACACACACACACACACAAAAACTCATACCGATGTAGTACTTCATCTCGGTGTCGTGCTTGTTCATCAGCTCCAGCAGTCGCACTTCGATCTGAGCCTGATTCAGGAAGGCCTTTTTATTCTTTATGATCTTGATGGCGACCCACTCCTGCTCCACACGGTCGTACGCCTTCACCACCTGCCAGCAGAGGGAGACAAACACAGCCGTCTCAGTGCTATCAAGCGCAGCAGAAGAAGAAGAGCAGACGAGAAGCGAGGCGCTGACCTGCCCGAACGAGCCTTTCCCTATTAAAGAGTCGATCTCATATCGGTCCATCCACTTCTCGCCATTTTTAACGATGTAGTCGAAGTTGTCGTCGTCATAGCCGTCGTTGTAAATCTTCCTCTCCTTCTTGTTGCTGGAGTCCTCGCCCTGACCCTGTTGGTGACGACGCTTCTTTTTTGCATAGTAAACCTGTGAGAGAGCAGACGCGCGAGGTGAGGAGTCAACAACATGCACAGCTCTACTGTACCACACTATCCTGATTAAGATGACAGTATATTCACATCACAGAGCTGTGAGATCAATGACATCTAATCATGTGTTGGTGTAGATTTGACCAATCAGATGGGGTCGTACTGTCTTCAGCCCTGCCCCCCAGCTGTTGCTGTTCTGCTATTGGCTGGAAGCTGAACCCAGAGTTGAATATAAACACTAGTGGGTGGAGTCAAGATGAAAAAGGAAAATGACAACAGCCAATCAGAGTGAGGAATATAAGCTGAGGTTCACTCAGAGTGTTTTAAAGACTGTCTGCACCTCCACAGGTATGTCATCTGAATTAGAATGAATTACACCTGAACAATGACTCTTACCTGTTTGCTTTAATATCACGAGATAAATAAATGATTTAAAAACACAGCAAATAAAATAGCAGTTTTCTAGGGCAGTGTTTCTCAACCACGTTCCTGGAGGCCCACCAGCACTGCATGTTTTGGATGTCTCTGTTGTCTTTCCCACATGTTTCAGCCTCTGCTAATGAGCTGATGATCTGAATCAGGTGTGTTCGGTTAAGAAGACATGGAAATGTGCAGAACTGGTGGTCCTCGAGAAACATGGTTGACAAACACAGATCCAGGGAAAGGTCATAAGTAGCATCGTAATGGCCATAGTCAACATCATCACACACTCTCTCAGTGTTGTGCATGCCTGATAGCGACACTACAGTCCTCTAGATCTGATGAACAGCTCAATGTGCCTCTCGCTGGTGGAGAGTGCGTCATATATTCTGTCATTGCCCATACTCCAGCTGAGCTTTAGTGTGTGTGTGTGATGAAGCGCTAGAGGAACAGCTCCACACCTCATTGATGTGTTTGTATGTTTTGATCAGCTCGATGGAGAGTTTTCTTAAGGGTGCCGTCGCTGGATCCCGGAAACACTGAGGCATCCGCCTCTGCAGCATCACCATATCAGCAGTTACCTGCAACACACACACACACACACACACACACACAACAGTGTCCATCAGTACCGAATGTGCTCTTATTGTACGCCTGTGTGTGTGTGTGTGTGTGTGTGTGTGTGTGTGCGCGAGTGTGTGTACCTGGGTGGCGCTGGGCTGCGGGGCCTGCGGGTTGTAGGGCAGCGCAGCAGCGGATTGGTCAGCGGCGCCCTGTGGGTGAGCATCACTGAACGGCGGGTGAGAATGGGGCGTCTGCGCATCCATCTGCACACCAGCCGAGTGGAAAGAAAACGAGGGGGCCAGCCGGACAGAGGAGGGTTTGCATGCTGAGGTCTCTCCTCCTGCAAAACACACATGAACATCAGCCTGCCCTCCACATTTAAGCAGCAAACGCTCCAGTGAAACTCGAGCCGATCGGCTTACAGAACATCCCAAAACACCCGCACCAAAATGGCAGACTGTGCTGCTGTCACAAGACGACACTGGACACGTGTTAGCATCCTTCAAACACACACACACACACACACACACACACACAGTCTAATCAGAGCTGATCAAGTGTGTGTGTTTATGACTCAGCATCAGGATCTCTCTCACACACACACACACACACACACACACACACACACACACACAGAGAGAGAGAAGGGGCTGCCATGTCAAACAGTAAACACAGTGAGCGCGTGAATAAGGCCCGCGCTCGGCTCGCGGTGACAGACCTGTAGCCCCAGCGAACACACCGACCAATGATTTGACACTACGGGCGTCTAGACAACAGCTGAGCGCTTCAGCAGCACCCATCCAGCAAACACGGCGGCATCAGGAGGATCTCGAGCCGCCCTGACGGATGTGATGTTTGTAAATGTGAGCGTGTGCGGCGAGCGGAACTCTGCAGATCATTAAGTCGTCATTTATCAGCGTCTCTCACCAGCAAACACAATGCAGCACATTCACACTGGTAACCAGCGCTCTCAAGCCCAGCAACAGTGCCTCATTACCATAGCCTACCACCAGGAAGATGGCGCGCCATTGGCCAGACGGCTAAAGCGGCAGCCAATCAGGAAAGGGTATGCAAATAACCCACTTTTGTTGCTAGGGCAAAGCTGCGAGGCTGCGTCCAATAGGAAAACGGGTAAGAGGCATGAAATTGAATTGCACTTTGACACATTTCCCAGCACAGTT